AAAGAGAAATAAAAGGCCATCGCCACAAAAAAATTCATTTGCAGATCCTTGCATATCAGTTCACGACAACTTATTAGAGCTTAATTAGTTAACATTGTTATTTTGATAGCCATACTCCAATGTTTTTGACAAACTAATAATTTTAACATACGTCTCCATTCTGTAATATACATATTGGGACTTTCCAGCTTCTATTTTTCACAAAAATACCATGACTAAGCGACATTAGAAAAGCTGTGCAAGGGCCACGAATAGTGACAGTCTTCTAGCTAGGAGGATAACAGTGAATGAAGTTGGACTTGGGCAACTTTAACAAACAGAAGCTTTATATATATTTAGAAGTTGGGAAAAGTCTTCAAAAACCCCGGACAAGTTGAATGACATCAATAAAAATGTGGTTAGTTGTGTAATTTCCACTTTATTACAAATTTGTGGCAAAAAATGACTCAAAAAAAAAGCTATGCCAGTTTAGTGAGGCATTTGAGCTGAATGCATTTTTGGTAGGAATCAGAATTAATTGATTTGAAACTTGCATATCATTATCATTGCAGGTTATCATCTAAGTCATTGCTAACTGCTTGCCACTAGAGGTCACGAGGCTGATCAAATTTCATTTGCTTTTGTTTGAACGGGGAACCAGGCAAAAAATAAAACAGAAGAGGCTGCACAGGTCTAGGAAACACTGAAACTAGTGTTTCTGAAAAGAAATGAGATATTTCTTCTTTGTTTGCCTACTCACCCAATACCAGCAAACAGTTGGTAGAACCCATTATGTGAAAATACAATGACTATGGTAAGGGATTTTGTCATGTTTCCACTGAATTTGTTTGTAGGTCAAAGAGAACATGAAGAAGCTCACAGAAGGCAAGTCAGGTTGGGTTAAAAATCAAAGAATATTGATTTCTGAACATGGATATTTCACTATGAAGAAAATGAATAACCTGAAGATAAACAATAAAGCGTGTGAGCGTCCACATTGAGGTGGTCTAACAAATTTCGCTAGTGCTCTCACTAAATATGGTATGGGAATAAAGACAGAAATTCATTTTTAGAATACTAATATAAGCTACTTTATAATCACAAGCTATGTAAGCATACCTAAAAAGGCTGATGTGCATACCTAAATGTATATTGCTACAGGATATGTTGCTGTTCTTCAGAGATAAAAAGGGCACAGAAGCAAGAATAGAGGATCCACTAATATTCTAAGAAAAAAAACATTCAAGAAAGCTCCTCTTTGACATATATTCTAAACAGGGAAAAGTCTGGTGAGGCTTTGGGCCAACACTGAAATCAGAATTAGATGTAGGACAGATTAAATTCATTAAGGTAATGTAGCTATAAGACTCCAAACATGCTGCCAGCTCTGCCAGGTTAAGGCTGTGCTGGCAGCAGTATGTGACCCTGCTCAGATACGTGATGCAATCTGGAGATACCTTGAGCTTGTTCGGATCCCACAGCAGAAGAGTACACAGCTGTATGTTTTTGTTCACTTTCAAAAGAATAAGTGCATTTAAGAAGAAACAAAAACGGCTTATTCTTGCATAAATAATTAGAAAAGTGTACCAAGACAATCAAAATGATGATTGCACATTGCTTCCACAACAACACATAATCAGAAACTTAAATGGAACTGTGACTTTACGAAAAACATGAAACAATGGAGTCAGTCATAATAACTTCATGAAGTCTTGGTATGAAAGCCAATGGGGCAGGCTAATTTCTGCTCTGTTATGACTCTCAGGTGCTATGTGTTCCTTCCTAAGAGCGTATATATATTTTGAAGAGGTGGTAATTGATTTTTAGATACTGTAAAATAGGAGGGGAAGAAAAAGTCATAACCTAATTCTTGTATCAGAAGATTCAGTTATGCAAGGCTTCTCTTCAACTGAATGAGGACAGGAGGAAAAGCAGAAGCAAAGGAAAATCTTTCATTTAAAAAGGAAGCACTGTTTTTTGACAGTCTGCTTTGAGTATATTCCAATCTAGACTAAATACTGGAATAATATGGAGAGAGCTACCATAACAGAGATAAAATTATCCACAGGGGAGAAGAAAATTATTCAGAATGCCAAAGTACCAGAGATAAAGAATTTGACAGCTCAAGCACTCAGCAAACACTGAAAAGCTGTTTGGGAAATGTCTTGCAGAAATCCATCGTAATCTATTCTGTATCTTATTTTACAGCCAGTAGACGCAAAGGGAATAGTGAGCTGACAAAATACGGTGCCATGTTTCGGGGAGGTAATCTTCATACAAGGTGAGAGGGACTCAGTGCACCACTTGGCTTTAAGTGAGAGGGGAATGTCACAGTATCTACTCACTCAGCCTGGCAGGTTTTTTGACAGATAGGTTTTCCCCTCCTCTCCTTAGCCTCCGAATTGTTTGTAATAAAGAGTAACACAATGTAGCTTTATCTCTTAATTTCTCTATCTGTTCTTATTCCTAGCTGCACCCTTGTTACTGACAGTTTCTCTAGCAGCCATTGACATGCTCTCTCATTTTGAGATATTTCTAAAATAATTCTGTTCAGTTGGTTTTTCTTTTTGAAAGTGAATGAATTTTTAAATATGCATTTTTTGCCTTATCTGATGTAACCTGTAACCATTTTCCCAACTCTGGGAATGCCAAGTCTCACACTTTTTAAAGCGCACTCTGTTTTCTGATTTCTACAAATCATATCTAGTGATGCTGTGATGTGTTTGTTTGATTAGCCATTGATATACACCATGTAAGAGGAGAATTCCTAGGTCTTTCTGAGCCTGCAGAAATCATAAATTATCAAATACAAGACTTCGAAGTACGAAGGAAGATTTTACATATTATATTCCTTCCATAAATTTAGCAAATTCCTTTTTTAAAACACTTGTTGACAGCTCTGTGAGGTACTCCAGCATCGTTTTTACAATATTCTCCCAAGTTAACCACTGGTTTTCTTTTAGCTTGTTAGTAATTTTCCATTTTTAGCTCACAGGATCTTTGGATCAGGATTATTCCTAGAGGAATAATTCTAGTCTTGTTATTCTATTCATAAATTGACCAAGCTCCATTTAAACAGCTCTAGAATTCATTACATCAATTAGAAAGTTGTTCTAAAACTCCACTCCTTTGAAGATCAAAAGCCTTCTGACTTCAAGGAAAACAACAAATACGATCAATTTGCTCATTTGTTTTTAAATTTTCCGTTGCCTCGGTCCTCCTTTTCCTTACAGTAGTTTATAATTTCATGGAGAAGGACTGTATCCCTTTCAGCCTTCACTTTGCCAGACCAAGCAAGCCTGTTTCTTGCCACTTCCTATTGGAAAATAAACTTTTCTAGTAACCTTTCTGCACCTTTGCTCACTTAAGGGTGATTTCTGGAAAGCTGAAGATCTGATCACTGCAGCACAGTGCAAATATCCATCCTGTTTTATTTCCTCCTCTGTATCTCCCCGTCCCTGAGTCTTGCTCTGGCAGCTTGTTTTGTGGCTCTGCGCTCTTTGAGCAGAGCCTAAATCCTGCTGGCTCCTGTTTAGTTCTCCAGCTCGTTCAGACTAGGCCTGGCTCAGGCACTGCAGTGTTTATTACCCCACCCCAGATTTCCTATAAATTTTGTTGACCAAGCTGGTCTGACACTATTTTTTTTTTTTTTTTTTTTTTGAAGCAAGCGCTGCTCACTTCTCCTTTTCCCTTCCCTTCCAGTACCTTGCCGCGATGACAAAACGAAAACCATCAACTGCAAGGGGGGACAACCAAGGGGTACAAGAAGCCTTAAATGGGCTTGTTCTGCTTTGTAATGAGCCCTCGCTTCGACGCGTCAGATCAAAGGAGGGTTTTATTAGTGGCAATAGGTTGGGGTCAGGGAGCAGGGGGATATTCAGCTCTGCAAAGGCGCTGTGAAATGGCTGGCAGTGGGATGGCCCCAATGGTCCTCCAATGGCAGCTGCACTAATACACACATATGTGAATATATACACACATATGTGTGTATTTGTCCTTTTGCAGCGGATTTTTGGCCCTCTCTTACAGGAGGTTGGCTTCCTTGCCTCTGCCTCTTTGGGTGCAGCCCCCGCGCCGCTGCTGTCCTGAAGCCTCGGCGTGACGCCTGGCCCTCGTCACGGAGCCGGGCCGAAGTCGCTGCAGACGTCTGCTCTTTTGGTTTTATTTCACTTGTGCCCAAAATGTTTATTTTTGAAAGAGGAAGCGGCCTCCTGGACTAGTTTGTAGGGCGCGAAGATGAACGCTCGTGGTGGTGGTGAACTGTCCTCTCAACCACCTCATAGGTGGAGCCCAGTGAAACATCAAAATGTGCTTGGTGCTTCCTCCTGCGCTTCACAACCTGCCACGGAGCAGCTTTTCCAGCGACTGGAAGCTCCCAAAAAGGTGGAAACTTTTCTGCGGCACAGGGGAGGGCTGGTATCTGCCAGGGCTGACGTTTGCAAAGTGCTCGGGCTTTTTTCCTGCTTTGTTAGAGATGCGTTTCCACATCCAATTCCATCCCGTGCCAACTCCCTTGCCTAATGCGGGGAAGTCCACTAGCTGTAATAACAATTTCACTTTTTTTCCAAGGGCTATGAAGAACCTTACGCAGTGTTTGGTTTCGGGGAAAAAAAGCAACTCCACGTGGGCTTTTTCTGTTCGGGCACTTGCCAGCGGTAAAGCCGCCGTGCGCCGTTGGCGGCTGCGGGGCGCCCCGCCGTGACCGCCCGGCCCGGCCATGGCGCCGGCCGCTCCGACGGCGGCTCCCGGGCCCCTTCGGTGCCTCCCGGGCCACGGCGGGCGCCTCCCCGAGCCGCGGGTGGCGCTTTGGGGAAGGAAACGGGGCCGAGGTGGCCCCGCGGGGCCCGCGGGCGGCAGGGGGCGGCCTCGGGCGCCGCCCGCCTCCGGGCGGGACGAGGAGGGAGGCGCCGCCACCTGCCCCGTCAGGGCGGCCCGCCCGGCCGCTATTTAGAGCAGCGCCGCGGCCCCCGGCGCTCCCTGCCTTGCCTGTGGCCGGCTCGGGGCAGCTGCTCGGCGGCGCCATGAAGGGTGGCGGCATCGAGAACCCCGTGTTTGAGCCGCCCAGCCCCGAGCTCGCCCGCCAGCGCGGGACGAGCGGCGCTGCCGCCAGCCCGCAGCCCGCGGCGGCCGAGGAGGGGCCGTGCGGCTGGGGCCGCTGCGCCCCCAAGGCCCTGCAGCTCTGCAACAACCCCGAGGGCTACCTGGCTGCCTACAGCCTCCTGGCCATCTTCCAAGGTAGCCCCACCGGGAGCGGGGCCGGGCGGGCAGGGGCGCTGCAGCATGAGGTGGTGGCACCGCGGGGACAGGAGCTGGGGCAGCTGCCTGGCTTTCCTCTCGGCTTTCCTTCTTGTGCTCCCGTCTATGCTGCTTCCTGGCCGCTCGCAGCGTGGGATGCTCTGAGTGTGCCTCATAGGATGAGCCACATGTGCCAGAAAATTGTGTGTGATAGGATCTCATGGACGCAAGTGCTGCACGTGTGCCCTGTCGCCTCCCTGCTGAGGCGAAGGTGCCTTGGCTTTCTTGGGTGAGACCTAACGCAGTCAGTGCAACCTCGCTTTGCCTCTAACTTCCACTCTTCAGGTGCTCTTAATCCTGCCTTACCTAACCAGCCTCATTAAGCCTTGGCTAGCCCTTGGCTTGAAAAACCATAGAAGTGAGTGGAGAAAAGGATTGCATTAGTGTGTGAGTTTGAGGCTCTTAAAGCGTGTTTGGAGGCTCATGCTTCAAACAGAGCTGGATGATTAATACTTGGAGCCCTCCAACTCCCTCCAGAGAAGCAAGCTGTGTTTCCTGAGTTCTGTCAGGACTTTAAGCTCATTCTCCGTCTGCATACTGCTGTACTATATAGATGCTGTGCTATAGTAGCTAATAACCCCTGTGTGAGGTGCAGGAGGCAGATGCCTGAGTTTGTGCCCATCACCAGCCTGAGGTAATTGGGATGTTTTTGAGGATTGTGATAGAAGCTCCTAAAACCCAGGTGTACCTGATTGCTGCTTCCATTGCTTAGGAAAGCTTCAAAAGGTTTAGGGTCTCTGAACTCAGAGGCTGAATAAACACACATTGGTCAGTTTAGATTCTAGGCATTGATTAGTACACATCTCTTCAGGGTTAAAACCAAGTCTGTGCAGTTTTGGGGTAAAAGCTGTTGTTCCCTTCTTGTATTTGAAAAACTGCACTATAACAGGTAGGTTCGGGAGGTGACTACTTGCCATTACCTTGCAGTAGCTCAAACTTACTTAAGAGGAGAAAGGGAGAGGTGGAAGAACTTCATACAGAGCTGAATTCAATGACAACAGAGTTCTAGAAGACACATTAATATTCCCTCATTTAGGATTAGGGATGGAAAGCAATGTCGCAAGTTCATAAGTCAATGAAGGGTCTTGAGTTATGCCACTCTTGATGTATTGAGTATGACTTTCTTGGATATGTCCAGCACTTCTCAACTTGTTAGAGCAATATCTCTTAATCTGGTTTGTGCCAGTTTTCTTCTTGCTTGAGTAATGATTTTAAGTATCACTTTAAATTTATCTTCTAAAGGTACTGCGGACAGGTTTCCAGTCATAGTCTTTTGTATGATACAAATCTTTGCCCTTACAGGGATAATGGTTTTTCCTAATGCAACTTCTCCAGGGCTTGGTACTTTGCCTAAACGTAGGTGTATGTCACAGTTCTGCATATCTAACCAATTTTAGATTTAGGGCCTTAAAATAAGACCCCGTCATTGCAATTCTTGGTAAGTGAGGGGAAAGAGTGACTTGCAAGCAAGAAATTCAGTGTCACATGTGCAACTTTGCAGAAACACTTAGGCCTTGCTGTTTCAAGGTCAAGATAACCTGACAGCACACACAACCCTGTTTTGCAGTTATCTGCTGCTTTGCTCTAGCTTTGAGTTCAAGTATTTCATTTACCTTCCAAATCACAGAAATCATCCCTGAAGAAGATGAAAGTATCTTTTCTATGGAAGACAGAAAATATTTCTGACACCCTGAAGAACCATAATTCTTGACATGGATTAATGTCTATAGACTTGCATATGCCTGCTAGACAATTGAATAAATGCAGTTGGTAGGTATTTCCAGTGAGCTGGTACATGTATGTGGTGTATATATATATATATATATATGCTTGTATAGTTGTGTAACTAAAAGAATGTGTTCGTTGAGTTGCTATCTGACTGCCTTGTGAAAGGCTATTGCTGTCACTAGCAGCTGATTTCCCTGTATTCCAGCTACTTGAAAGGCTCAAAGTGGAGCTTAGTTCTTCATTTCTGCCAGTTTCAAGTACAGGTGGAACCTGTATTTCTAGAATAGAAAACACTTCTTTGTGTAGAACAAGGTGACATGACTAATAGCTGATTCTATATGGCACTTGAGTTGCCTAAAGGTCTGATTGCATCTTGTAATACAATGATTTGCTATGCTGCACTTCCTAGCTATGGCAGCAAACAAGGTAAAAGCTATCTCAATATTTTGAGTACAAGAAGGGCTGTTTATTCCTTGTGTCAGTAATGGTTATATTAGACAAAATAACAGAATCTCGTTTTGAGATAGTTGTGTTGGCAGTATGCTTTAAAAAAATGCTCTGCCCAAGCGCTCTGTGTAATGCTAATGGTCTGTAGCCAGGCTAGATTGGTGTGGGCTCCTGGCTTTTGCTTTTTTCACCTGGGTGTCTGCAAGTCAGTGTTCAAGACCCCCATAGACCCCCATTACAGTACAGGGGGGCGGCAGCAGTGGGGAGAGAAAAGCTTGTATTGGGAACCTGTTTATTAAATAGATGAAGGGGAGAAAAACCCCTCATATTTTCTAGTGTATTATAGAAAGAGGAATTTAATCTGGATTTATTTTGGTCTTTTAACATATCTGTCAGGATGGTAGTGTATTAGATGAGAATAGCTGGAACATAATTAAGTGTTGAAATGTCCTGTGGGATTTTTTTTTTTAGCTGATGTAGTGTTAAAATCCACTGAGTTCCATCTGTCCTGAACTGAAACTCTAGTGACTGTTGGAGAAATTTGAAAAATTGCCTCTCATAACACTTTTTTTTTTTTTTTTTTTGAAACCATGTTATCTAATCATCTAATCGAATGAAGTGCAAGGTTTTACGGCCTTAGGTGCCAAGGTGCCAACAGCTGCAGGCAAAAGACAGCATCTTACAGTCCTGTAATTGACTTTTTGAGTAGCTCACTGGCTTCATATAAACGTTCCAAGACCTCAGGAAATGTTTGAAGTGTTGTGCAAATGGGCAAAACTTGTTTGTTCATTCCTTCATGCCAGTATTGTTCGTCGTGGGCACTGCTCTTTGTGCCTTTGGCAACTTTCTTTTGTTTTCAGTGATGGTGGTAGAAATATCTGAATGCTTTTGGCCCCATATGAACTGAAAGGTAGTGGCCAGACTAACAGAGCGGTGAAACTCTCAGCCTAAATAAAGAGGGTATGGGAGGGATTTAGGAACACTCAAGTGGCTAGTGAAGGCACCTGAACTGCTTCCTTTTAGAAAGCTGAGGTGTCTTCAAGGCAGGGATTGCTCTGCTTAAAGCAATGTAGTGAGTTGGTGACAGGTTTGGAGCAGTATCTCTCTTTCATAGAGTGCTCCAACCTTACACAGTTTCACTTCTGTCTCTAGTCAGCTGTCCTGTGCCGTCAGTCTCAGCGTGGTGAGTCCCCCCTGAATTTGGGCCACGGGAAGGATAACTAAAAGGCCCGTGTCACAAGAGAGTCTGGGTCATCTTCCTCACATGGCCTTGTGTACAGATGCGCCCACACAAGGCTCTGCTTGACGTGTCTCTCCTGCAGGAGGAGTGTGTGACAGTCCTAATTATATCTGATAAGAGAGTACAATGTCTCCTGAAGGAAGCAAATTATGAACACCGAAACTTCATAAGTAGTTGATCCGATGAAGTTGGATTACTAAACAAAAAAACAAGGGAAGGCTAAGCATTTCTTAAAATATTTCTATTATAGCACCAATTAAGAAAAATCAGCTTGAAAGGAATCCCTTTTTCATATCTGGAATATACGACTTTATGTCAAAATTCTGTATTTTTCTTAGGTGTCTTTTTACAGAATTCTGAAGAGATACTATGTGACGATTGCATTGTGACAAAGTTTATTTCACCATATTTCACCAATGGTGAAGTTTATTTCACCTTTGATAAAAGATGATCACCATTGATAAAAGATGGATGAAAAACATTAATTTTAATGTTACAAAACAATTCTAATGTAACATCAGTGTCCTAGCCACGAGGTTCCTGAGTTCTTGTTTACAGCTGTGACTCTAAGAATTCCCAGTTCTTCTCAGTAGCTTGTTTTGTTACAGAAGCAATTTAGTTGCACTATAATGAAATTATCTGGGAATACTGTGAAACATAGCTGTTCATCTAACATGTAACAGAATCCTATTTTGGGGCTGTATAATGGAAGTAAAACCAAGTTTGGTGTCTTGGTGCCCCACACTGAAGAGACACCGGAAGAAAATGAGGCAGGGTGAGATAAAGTTATATCTGATGTTTCTGGTGGTAGTGGCCAGTGTGTTCACAGGTGACTGTGGCCAACGGACACCTCATTCAGGCTCTATGTTTTTAATCTTCATTTTTGATTCTGCCTGAAGAAAGCAGTTTGTATGGGCCTCTTTTGGGGTCTTGTCTGATGCAACTGCGTCAGCGGACTTTGAAGTTCAGTATGAACTCATAGCAGTTCAAGTAAATCACCTAAAGTAAATTTGATAAGGAGCCAAAGTGTTTTTAAATAGCTTTAATTATTTATTTATCGCTATTCCAAGGAAGCACACTGGTCTAAAAGCTTCCTTGTTTTGTCCCTTCTTGGTGGGTATTAAGTGGGGGAGGCCAGAATGACTTTTACAACAGTAACTATTTGAAAGCCATGTCTTGTTAAGTAACTTGCTTCTGTTCAGCTTGTGCTGTCATGTTTACCACAGTAATATTCTTGACTAATTTCCTGTCAACTTAGATGGTATCTTATGACACTGTCGTGCACTGTGAGGAATTTCTATGCTTCAGACAGAAACTATGACCTTAATACATTAAGGATACAATACAAAAAGCTTGTGCCATGGTGTTTTGCTAGCTTAATGCTTAACTGTTAAATGTTTAGTGTCTGCAGGAGAGAAGAGTCGAGTAGAACCTGTGCAGTGTGACTGGTTTGATGGCACTGTATCCATCCACTATATACCTGGATTTTAAAGCTAATAAATACCTTAAAATGTTCTGCTTTAAGTATATTCATTTCAGCTCCTCCCTCATACTATGGTGAGTTGCTAAGTACCTTCCTTGATTGTTGTTTTTCTTTCTTGTAGGTATTGTGGTCAACGGCCTGATCAACATCAGTATTTCTACAATTGAGAAGCGTTATGAGCTGAACAGTTCCCTCACTGGCCTCATCTCTGCGAGCTATGACATTGCTTTCTGTGTGTTGTCACTGTTCATATCTTTCTTTGGAGAAAGAGGGCACAAACCACGGTGGCTTGCTTTCTCAGCCTTCATGATGGGATTGGGCTCACTTGTATTTGCCTTGCCACACTTCAGTAGTGGAGAATATCACTATGGAACTAAACTTGAAGGTAAGACTATTTTTGTTTTACAGACAAACAAAAAATCCTTGCAGATAGCTGGTGCAGCCCTATTAGTTAGGTACACTAGAGCTGGTATTTATCATTTATTTGGTAAAATAGAGTTGGTATTTATTGGTCTTAAGACCAGAAAAATCTTTCTCATACTGAAACCAGGTGATTCTGTGAAATCTGTAAGATGAAGAGATGTCTCCCTGTATGCTGAACTCTTTTCCAGATAAGATCTGTGTCGTTATCAACTGTTGTTTGTGAGAAATACAGACGAGGAATGCTTTCTGGCTTGCATTGATGAATGCAGTCAAAATTAAAGTTGAGTGAAAAAGTCCTGGCCTATCTCCTTATAAGACAAAGCTTTGCTAAGTGCGGTATGCTTGATGCAAAGTACAGGAATCTCTGTTTAGTGGCACACCTCTAAATGCACGTCTAGATATCTAAAAAATGTAGATGGCTTAATCTTTCAGTGCAACTCATTGCAACTGTTGTTGCAATGCTTGAGCAAATTCATGCTTTCAGTGACTAAGCATGTTACAGCAATCACCAAAACGGTCGGTACCTGTTAAGCGATCTGAGAAAAGGTTCTCTATCTTCCGATTGTTGATGACTTAAAAATAGATTAGTTTCATTCCAAGTACTAACCACATCATGAACTTCCGTGTGCTGCCCAAACATGGGCCATAAGTTAAGTAACTGTTGCTCCTCATCCAATAAATGAGGATTTCATAGAATCATGGAATGCGAAAAGTTGGAAGGGACCTCTAAAGGTTGTTTAGTCCAACCCTCCTGCACAAGCAGCGTCACCTAGAGCATGTGAAGTATTTGAGGCAGAAGTCAATTGAACTTTTAAGTAAGCAAGGCCAGAAAGGACCATTAGTGTTTGGAGGCTGTAGGCAGATGTTTACTTGTTAACCCACAGCAGAGAAGCAAAAACTTGCTTGCTCCTGGCTCCATTGCATCCCTGTTACTCTGCAAGACTAGTTTCAATATGATGCTTCCCACCAGGTATGTGGTGCATGAGATGATATTCCCTTATCCTTTTGAATATCCAAGAAAGGTGCAGGAAAGGCAGCTGTACAACTCAAGTAAATGACTTTTGGCAAGGGATAGGTACCCAAGCTTTATCTGAGTCTAAACGTGATAATGTCTTGGCTGACCAGGAAGTGTTGAGCAAAGTAACTACCATGGAAGGGAAGCAGAACTAAACCTATAGAAAGATCTATATTTGTTTTTTTTTTCTTTATATAGAAATAAGAGGCCTGTTTCCTTCCAAACATCTTCACGTGGTCAACAACTATCGCAACTGATAACAAGTAAAACTGGGAGCGGGGAGAGATCTCATTCTGTTCATCAATACTAGCAATATCTTTGCCATTGCTGTAGTATTTTAATACTTTATTAGGGCTTGTGACCCACAGACTGAAATACAGAAGCTGTGGAAAGGTATTTGTATGTATGTTTTTATGTACGACCCAGATGTAGCTTAGGTATAATCAGCTATTTGCTGCTATGACTCGTTTAGGCTACTGGGATGTTCAGCCTCTAAGCTGGTCTAATATTTATAGCCTAAACAGGAGCTCCATCTAGTGGGTTCTCTAATAAACCCTTTCTGTGCTGATTTTTGTTTTTACCGAGAATAATACGGAGGGTTAAAAAATGCAATAGGAGGTGTGTCATGAGCAACAGACTCTTAAACTTCAATATTACATCTTATTAAAACATGTCACATTTTACAAGATAAAATGTAGATCTCAATGCAGCTTTGTTTTGAGGACAGTCAAATGTTGATGTCTACTCTTTTTACACATATTTATGAGTATCTTTGTAACCAGCCTTAGCCCTGTGAGTCAAAATGTGTGTTGTGCCCTTTGAGGAAAGGAAGAATGGGGAGGAAAGGCTTGAGCACCTTCAGGCTTCTTCAGTTCTCTGTCTGGAAACTGTGTGTGTATGGGGATTGAATGTCGAGTAGCCCTTTTAAGAAGCAGAACAATCGACTCCAACCTGTTTCTTAGAAGGTATTGAGGACAGTGAAATGTAGGCCTCTAAGCAGATAGTTGTCTGTCTTGTAACAGCAGCCTGTCTGCTTTCAGTTGGTTTAGCTCCCTGAACAGATTACTTGAGTAGTCAGGTAACTTGCAGTGCTGCTGCCCTCTGCTCTGCTTGGCTAATTTCTCTGCTCCATGTAGATGTTCCACTACTGCAGAACATCCACCTTTGGAAACTAGTCGTTGGTATTTATTCAGCATGCTCCTTGAAGTCTTCAAATACACATTTCTGTTTAAGACTTGCCAAGATGACAGTTCTCTGCCTAAAATGGTAGAGGAAACCAAGCTGTTCTTTATTGTTCTTCACAGCTCTTTTCTTTCCTTCACCCAAATGCCACTGGCTATAGTTTAAATGCAGTTAAAGCTACTCTTGATCTGCCTTCCTTATAATTAGTGTTATTGCTGAAGCATCTCACAGTTGGTTATACCTTGTCTTGGATGTTACGTTAGGTCTTTGGAAACACTTTAACCTTTACATAATTTGGGTTCAGGTGAGTATGTCAAGATTAAAACATACAGAAGATTTGCAATGATTATTCCATTGTCTGGTCTTGCAGACAATGCTGCTCTTCAACATATGTCTAATTTTAAGAAAGGAAAACAACTTTATGGTGGGGAGAGGAGGGGAAGAAGACAGTGAAAAGATAACAAGCTAAAAACTCTAGGGAAGCAAGATAAAAACTCTTATAGCTTGGTTTATCTGATTTTGAGTTTTCGTGATCATGTGGAAGCCTCTCTCCACGCTTCTTATGACTGCAGCAAACGGGCTTGTGGATCTAATCCGGGTTAAATTTAACCGGGTCGCTTTTCCAATCTGCTTAACTGCTCAAAATGTCGAGCTAGCACAGGGAGGTGGCATCACTTCATAGCAGCTTGGGCTGGCAGATGTCGGCTTAAACTAATCGCAGTTTCATAGCTACCCTTTGTGATTTATTTCTAAAATATTTCTTGAATTGGACTGTATGGTGTGTGATTCTACTCTGCAAATGCGTCTCTGTTGATTGAGTTTCCTGAAAGAAGTCTGTTAGGTGCTGCAAATAAAAGGATTTATAATTATGTTAAAACCTTAACGTGCGTGTTGGTGGTTCTCCCTGGTGACTTGTTACTTGGTTCTGAAAACAGACTAATGTGATGACTTTCCTCTCAAAACGTCAGGGTAATTACTCTAGGGCATCTAAATTGAAGGGCTGGAAGACTGATGGGACAGAGACAATAATCAATTAGTTATATAATGGCACAAATTCTTAAAATTCAATTTATATGAATGGAAACGTTGGGCGTAGGGCTTCTTTAGAACTCTGGGATTTGGTTCCCATTATAATATATAGCTCAAAATAGGCTATAGGCTCTTCTAACATTTGGGATGCTTGCTTTGCTACTGGTTTTCTGACGTTGGTATTTTAATGAGAACAATAGTGTTCTTTTTATTGCACTAAAATAATATGGTAAATGTAGATTTAAATTTGTCTAACTGTTAGATAGTAACATAACAGCAGATATATTCTATACTATGTATTTTATAAAATAGGTTGAATGAGTAATCGATGTCTTTCTACGGTCAAAGAATGTAGATGCCCTGCATGCAAATAATATGAAGTTGGCCTAATGTAAGATTTAAAATTGCTTCCTGCAGAAGAAAGGAATATTGATGAAGAAAATGGATTTAACATTAAATGGAAAGTACTTTCTAATTTTAATTTTAGAATAGTGATTGATAATAAACCGTCCCCAGTGTGACCACAGTGCAGCATCGAAGTGCAGGCTGTTGCTAAGTGGAATGGAGGGGAAATACTCTCCTGAAGAGAGGAGTTCCTTGTCTCCCTGTTGTGCCTGAAGTGACCTTTCCTGTATGGTGCTGTGCCATCCCTTCCAGGGAAGGGAATATTAACAGTACCTGTGGCTGTGCTTCTGGCATTTGGGGTGCGTGCTTCTGTTCCAGTGCCATTTCCATGCTGCTGTATGGCAAGCTTGTCCTTGCATCCTGGCAGCCCTCAGCGTGGGCAAGCTTGTCCCCTGCTTGCATTTGAGATCACCTTTTACTGCAAAAGAAGCTGAGAGAACAAAGTAGTAGTATTGTGGCAGAGCAGAGAATCTGCTGGGTCTGGTACTGAAGGTGGCTTTTGTGCAGTGGGTCAATATGTGCTATTCCCCCTAAACCGATGGGTTTACTCCCTTTCTTGGGGTTGTGTGCCCTTCTGGAGAGGTTTAAGAAGAACTATGCTTATGTTTCCCTCTGGTCCCATCTCTGAGGACTGCAGCAAAAGTGCAGTGATAGTAGAGGAAGGAGAAGGGAAAGCAGATTGTGCCTTCACTTCCTGCTTTCCCTTCCCTTTTCCTAGTGCCCAACACAACGGGAGTTGGCACAAGCTTAACCTGTTCCACCTCTGCTTCTGACTTTTGTTTGTAGACAAATGCATCAGCTCTTTGTTCTGGAGATGTAACAGTATGCTCTGTGAGCTGGGTTCTGCTACATACTTTTAATAGGCCCCCCCCCCCCACCTCTTTTTTTTTCCCTGAACAGGATACAAGAGAGAAGGAATTATTTTTGCCTGGAACTCTGAAAGCTGCACTTTCTCCAACTTCCCTCTTGTGCTTCAGGCTACTAGTATTCTTCCTTTGTTTAAAAAGGGAGATTTAATGTTCCTCAGTCTTCAAATGGTATGGGAACAAGATGAAGGATCTGCTACCTAGAAGTTTTCATTAAATAGGATTGTATAACCATTTGATAGTTTTCTGCATATATTGGATCAATAATACTTTCATCTGACCTAAGGATTTTAACATGACTGTTTCTTCCATTTTTCTTCCATTTAATTTTACAAAAATTAAGTCATTTTTGTAAGAGGAAATTATGTTGGATAGTAGGTCTGAATGGGAGCATCCGCGCAGTGTGTGCAGCTTTGCTTTTGGCATGTGTTCCTCCTTGGTGGGAATGGGGTGAACTGGGTGACTGAATTCAAGTCTTGCTCTTTGTGTCTTTCAGATACATGTCAAATTGGAGGAACAGCCTCCACTAACTTCACCTGCAGTGCCAGCACAAAGTCTTCCCTCTCCAACTACCTCTATGTGTTCATCCTGGCGCAGCTGTTGCTCGGCGTTGGGGGAACGCCACTCTACACTTTGGGGACAGCTTTTATTGATGACAGTGTCCCGAAACACAAATCTTCCCTTTACATAGGTGAGTGTTTTGAGCTGCTTCTGATGCATTGCCTGTATAGATCATGAACTACATCATCTTAAAATGTTTATCAGAAGTGACCTTGTGATTAATCTTTCTTCATTGCTTGCTTGATGCATTAAGTACAGTAATACCCAACTGGCACAGGACCTGACAGCCTGCTGTACGTGTCCAGTCTTTTTAATAGCTATTTAACTGAGCACAGTGAGGACAGTTTGTGCACCTGACTTAACCTGCTGTTTCTTTGTGGCAGTAACTGAGCAGGAGAAACGAATTGGTTGGTGTAGCCTGTGAGTACGTGATGGACTAAGCTGTTCTAGCAGACTGTGCTTTCTGCTGTCACAGGCATTGTGTAATGACCGTGTATCAGCTCTGTGGCCACATCAGGCTGTATCCGCCAACTGTTTTATGTAGTTCCCCTCTCATGCCACGTTGTCACCTCAGTGTAGGGACCCTTTGGTGCAGTGCAGCGTATTATCTATGTAGCTCTGTAGCCATATATAAATTTGCCGCTTAAAGAGGAAATACTTTCAATATTTCCTTAACCGAAGATAGGAGAATTGCCTAGAAACATGGGGAATGGGGTTGTATTTCATTGTGGGCCATTAGAGAGCTATAGAATATTAATTCTTAATTGTGGTCTTTAATCTCTTCAGTCAGTGTTCTGTGGTCTGTGTGCATTTTCACTGCTTCATTTAGTGCAGCCTGTGTTTTCTGTGGTAGGGAAGTTATTCAGACTTACCCATTTTGGGTCTGTGCTGATAGAAGTGTGTTATTTGTATTGATAAATTTCAGTAGGTGACTAAAGCGTTAGAGATTCCTGGCTTCCTTCTCAGATTTGAAGTCAATGTTTCAATTTAATTAAGGCTTTGGTTCTGTCCCTGTTGCACACAATTTTTGCTTAAGGGATACAGGAAGGCCACTTGCTTTGATACTAACAGATAAACCAGTTTTTCATGCTACATCTTTAACAGTGACTGCTTTTATTTTTGATGCTGATCTGGAGAGAGTCTTTTTAAAGCTTTTGCTGAGGCTAGTGAAACAGAGAAGGGCTACCTGCCTGGTTAAGAGGATCAAGAAACAAGATACAAACTCAGGAAAAGAGTTAAAGGAAGAGTTAAAGAGGAAAAGACTTAAAACGTAACTGACCGATATAAAGAACTGATGCTAGCACAGCTAGTACCTCAGCCCTGTTTATTTTCACTTCCTGGTACTTAGGTGTTCTTTCCTGTTCTCTTTTTGCTATTTAAAGAGATGGAAATAAAATTGAATATTGAATGTAACTCTGGAAATAATTGAGGCATCTGGATTCTTCATGCCAGAAAGATATAGAATATACCTGTCTCGTGGGTGGCTTGGCCCTAGTTACTGGGAGCTGCAAACCTTTGGCTACAGAGACTCTCTCCTAACTAATAGTGCTAACGTGCCACAAATACCTGGCCGATAGGGCAGAACACCTCTTGGGGGATCGAGTAAATCTTGTACTTGGGCAGAAGTAGTGAATGGAGCAAAGAGGGCTTTTTCATATGACTTGGCTACATTTTCCACTTAATTTCTTCAAAATTTTGTCGAGAGCTGCTAAGAGCCGTGGTGTGTATGTGATTTCTTCTTCCAAAGAACTTCGAGTGGCAGATACTACTCCTGTCAACAACTTCCACAACATTCTGGCTTCTGGTCTTCACTGATTTAGACTCCAGCTAAAATATTTAGCTTCTTGCACATTGCTTCCTGGTGCTGTTAACTGCTGATGCTCTTCAGGAACTTTTCACGAGGTAGCTTATGAGTGTGGGCACAAGACATGCTGAAGGCCCATAAATAAGGCAGAAAGGTGCTGTCAGAGAGGTGTCTTTTAGTGTGTTGAACCTCTGAGAAAAGGCAGGTTTAATGAACTGCACATTGCCAAGCAGATTGGCCCAAGTGCCATTTCAGTCTTCTGCGCACTATAAGCTAAATAATGAAACTGAAGGAACAGGCTGAACTACAGAAACCATTTTGTCTTAAGTTTACTTACAAATTCTTTAAAATAAAGCTTTGGAAGCATGTGGTGAAGCTTGACATATGTATTTTTTTCTTCTAGGAATTGGCTATGCCATGTCGCTGCTGGGCCCTGCCATTGGTTATGTCTTAGGAGGGCAGCTGCTGAATATTTATATTGATATCCAGATCCCAGAAAGGCAAGACATTTAGCCTTTTGCTTTATATTTACTTTTTTTTTTCCTATAATCCTTAAAGTCTTTGACTTTTCACCTTGGGAGGGTGGGTCTAACATTTCCTTGGGGAATAAATTCTCTAAACTTGTTTAATTTGGGAACAAACTGCACTGCATGGGCTTCTCGCAAGTAAGATGCTTATTATAGTAAATCTCCTCTGTGAGATTTTCTTTTGTGTGAATAGTTCTAACTTGTGGAGATATTAGTTATATTAAAGCTGATGAACAAAACAGGCTTATTATTAGACAAACTCTAGCAACTAAAGCAGTGACTATTGATACAGTGTGTGAAATGTTTTCCTGAGGTGGGATGTAAGCAGTAGGATCCAGTTTTTTCTTGCCAGGGGGTACTTTGCTAGAAAATCTGAGTGACAGTTCACCCTTCAAAAGGTAATATTATGAATTGTAACGATATTTTAAACCAACAAATTCATGTATAATGTTCCTAAATTTCCTATGTTTTAGTGACTTAATATCAATGCAGTAGCATGCCTCTGAGGTACTATGGGCTTTCCTGAAACTCATTGATTATGAAGATTCTTAAAAGCAGCTTTAAGTAGAATAGTGCTGCAGCTTCCTAAAATCAAAGTCAGAGTAGCCTTCAAATCGGATGGAATTTAATAAGAGGTCAGAGCTGGTTTTGGTAGAATGAGGTACTACCATTATAGATTTGCTAAGTATATTTAATAGTCTTCATCAAATAAATAGAATACATACAGAAAATAAGGAAACTATATAGCAATTTCCAAAAGTTTTTAGGAGCAGCTAGTGTACCAGAGCTTGCCAGTGTCTCAAACTTGCTGCTTCTGAGTTCAGAGCTGTTAAACCTAATTTTCCAAATTGTCTTTTTAGTACAAAGTTGGATCATGATGACCCACGTTGGCTTGGGGCATGGTGGATAGCATTTCTTGCATGCTTTTTTGCAATCTGGCTGCTGATAATACCATTTTCATGCTTTCCAAAGCACCTGCCAGGTAAGTATTTAACAATAATGAAATACTTTGGAAGGGAGGGAAATGTGTTTATCTGTTTATTTGCTTGTGTGGGTCATGCAGTGCTGGACTGAGAATGATGGATTCCTCTGTTTCTGTTTCTCATTTTGTTTTGTCTTCAGCTGAATCTTGGAAAATGCCTGCAGCTAAGCTCCTAGGGCTGTATTTAAGAAGACTTTCAATGTACTTTTTGCCTTTTTGTTCAGGTCTAGGAATATTCTCGGAGGAGCGTTTTAAGGAACCTACCCGGCTTGTTTGGAAGAGAAACAGAAGACAGGGAACAGTGAAACAAATAACTGGGAAGAATGGGAGGGTTATAAAAATGTTGAACAGGCTTCAGACTTGTCAGAAGTTCTTAAGATATTTCTAATAACATCTTACAGCTTCAAAAGGACACATGCCATTCAGCCAAATGCCTCTTTAAACAAAAATAAGTTACTGCTTATTGATTTGTATCAAAAAATAATCAAAACTTACAATTTGAGCCTGTTTTCTGAAGAAGTCTTTATTGTGATATTACTTGATATTTATGCAGTTTAAGAATACTGTTCAATGTGTATGTTGTCCAAAAATATATCCTTCTGTAGGCACAGCAAAAATACAAGCTGAAAAAATCTCTGAGACACATAACGATGGAAGTGAAGCACTTGTTAAAATCAAGAACATTGGAAAAAGCTTTAAAGACTTTCCTGTAGCTCTCATGGTAAGATAATCTGGAATTTTTAATTAAAAAAATGTATATTTTTTTTACTTTTTTCGGCTTTACATGAGTATCTAGAAAGGTAATGGTTTTTCTTTTTATCATTCTATGATAACAAAGCTTACCGTGCTGCTGAAAATCTTCAATGCATGCTGCTGCTTCGTTTAGTTGATGTTTAAGATTATCAAAGCAGGAAAAGCATGCTAATGACCTTCAACTTAACAGGGGCTGCTTTCAAATACAGTTAGTTCTGGTTTACCTGGTTTTACAGTGAGATAATTTTGAGTGCTATGCTACTCTTTCCCCATAGATACTCTTGAAGAATCCCGTGCTCATGAGTCTAATAATAGCAAGTTCTTCGGAAGCTTTAATTGCCACAGGTTTCGCCACATTTCTACCCAAGTTCATAGAAAATCAGTTTGGACAGACATCAAGTTTTTCAGCAACTCTCGGAGGTAATGTATGGGTTTTTTTTTGTTGTTTGTTTGTTTGTTTTTGTGTTTTTTGTTTGTTTTTAATTTTAGAATGTACTAGACACCTTACTGCTACCTTGTACTTTCTGTCCAAGACACTTCCGTGGACGTATTTAAAAAGCTGTATTTCTATAGTTTTCATATAAAGCTGTTTTTACCCATCATAAGAAAGCTGGTGCATCAAGGGTGAAAATCTACTAGTTGTCTGCCAGTTTAGTGGACTTAGTAAAACAGTTCTGAGCAGAGAAACTTCTGTGAGAATCTGAAGCAATTGTTTCTGCCCTTTTTATTTTTTCAGTAGCATTGAATTTTTCATAATTCAAGTCAGCTGAAGGCATGCTAAGCATTAGTCTTGACAGGCAGCTGAAGAAAAAGCACTGCCTCTCCCCAGAAAAGGTTGGGCTGGCCTTTTGCTTCAATCCCACTGTAATGCTGCAGTAGGTAGGTGAGCGTTTAATAACGTAACTGTCTAGCTGGGATATAGTCTGAGATGACTGTGCATCTGCAGTTGGCTCCCTGTCACTTGTCATGTGTGCATATCAGATAAAAACAGGTCGAACAAGCTGAGTACTGGAAAAACAAATCTGAAAATCTGATGGAGATGCCACACTAGGGAGGAATAAATCATTAACCCAATACATTTTTTTTTTTTTTTTTTGAAGAATAGCAACCAGATCAAGGTAGATACACCAACAGAGGCTCTGTAGCGTCTGCCTGCATGGCAGCACTAACTGAAATGCTCTTGCCCCAACAGACATGACATGCTTGGTACATTCTGAGTCACTCATTCTCCTGGATAATAGTAGAAAAATAGTACTGTTGCTGTAAATGACATTGCCAAGAACAAACCAACCAAAATGAAAAAGTACCCTGCAAGTTGTACATTGAAATGCATTGAAATCCACAGCCAGTTTTTAAATGGTAATTTGCAATAAAGTAGAAAGCTTTCAGCCCTGCCCCTCAGCTTGCCTTACGTTCTTTTAATTGGGATTGGAAATATTGGTAGTGTTCATGAAATGTGCAACTTGAAGGAAATGCCTGCAATAGTGTTGAAAGCTGGCCAGTTGTACCTGAAAGAATATTGAGCCAGCTAGAAGAAGTATTTTCAGGAGCCTTGTTAGTTAGTTAAACCACTGTTGACTGCAGGCATCTAACAGTTCTGTTGTACTTGAACTGTCTCTAAAAATGAATTGTTTCAGGTCAGTGCAGGATGCATTTATCTGTGCTGTTTGTTCTATTTATTTCTGTTTGTTCTGGACTGTTTTGTGTACTAGTCCTAGGAAAAAAAAATTCAGCTACTCACCTAGTATCTTAACTTACTCTCTTTCCATTATGGAAAAATGGATCCATCTGTCTCAGCAACTTAAACTATCTTTCTGTAGCTGCGTGTGTGTTGTGCTATATATTGTACAACAGGATTTATGTTTTATAGGAAGCTTGCAGCTTAAATGTGTAATATACACACCAGGTAAGCACACAAACATATTGAGAAGAATTGAAATAGCATTTTGAAGTTTTGTATAACTGGTATTATATGCTGGTGTTTGGAGATTCCTGCCAAGCATAGCAGTGTACAGTTGGCAAATTTAAAGTAATTTGTTTGCTGCATCCAGCTTTGGCTTTGGACAACTAAGTCATGCTGTCATGTCAAGTTGTACTTCTGAAGAGACCAGAGATAATGTAAGGGTAGAAGAAATCCCTTTCAGTGGAATGTCTAAATTACTCATGCTGACAGATTCGGGTAGGATGGGTTTAAAATGACATTATGTGTAGTGCATCTAAAGCTACAGGTAACTGCTTTGATTTTCTTAAAATTGCACTCAAAATTGCTTCACTAATTGTCTTGCATTTGTGTGTAATTGCTGGTGTCTTGTTTTCCTCTAGGACTTGTATTAATTCCAGCAGCAGCACTAGGCCAAATCATAAGTGGCTTCTTGGTTTCCAAGTGCAAAATGGATTGCAAAAGCATAATCAAGTTCATGATAGGCACTTGTTCAGTGGCACTACTATTAAACACAGTGTTTTTATTTGCTAAATGTGGGAATGAACCATTCGCAGGTGTCTCTGAAACATATAATGGGTAAATATATTTTAATGCACTCTTGGGCTCGGTGTTGATGTTTAAAATACATAAGCTATTTCACAAAATACAAACTCCTTAAAATCTCATATTGCTTTACCTTGCTGTATGAAAACTCAACTGTTTTTTTGGAACTCAGTCTTTTTCTTTGATTCTTTGTGTAAGAGACTAGTAGGAGAATGTCACTATGTGTAGCTAGTAAAATGTCCTGAGCAGAATCAGCCAGTTCAACAACAACTTCTGTAACCCTCTTGCTGTGACAACTGTGGTCTGACTAGGGCTAATTCTGTGTTTGGGCAAGAGTGGGGTCCCTTAAGTCTTGTTGAATTACCCAGTGGTGGACAACCTGGGCAGACTATTCCTGGGGAGGGATCTGCCATCCACTGCAGTTTCATGAGAGAATAATTAGATGAGCTGTAATGGAAGCTGCCTGCAAAGTGATTGCAGGCTTGTCGCTAGAAAAGGCAAGGTGGAGTAGTATCAGTTTCTAGTGCATTGAGCATCCACTTACAGAAGACTTCATTTTATCTGGGCAAAATGTCTATTATTTGAAAGCAAGATGCAGAAGATTAATGCAAAGAGTGTAACTAAGTGAGCCAAGGTGAAGAATGAAATATGTGAAATAAACCCAGCTTAGCAATACCATGATTCAAAATATTTGTCTGACATATATAGGAAGGACTTCTATAAACAAAAGCTATTCTTTTCTCTTGAGCCTCTAAAGAACATGCTTTGCTTTCCTAATGAGAATATAATCTATGAATCATACAGGGGTCTCTGTACGAACTGCAATAGCAGAGTTTTAGGATAAATGGTCATCTTGTTGCTGTGAAGAAAACATATTCTGGCGATCAGTATAGCAAGGGAAGAACTTTCAGAAGAGTGACAGTAAGCATAAAACAAGATTTTAAAAGTTTCTGCAGGAGTAAGTTTGAGTGGAGTCCTAGGACCAGCTATAAAACATCAAATGTGTGTGATCAAGGCACCAGCTTAGGCATCATATTGTATAAAATGCATGATCATATCTTAAATGTTATAATCTTGTAGTTTATTCCTTAATTTCTCAAACAATTTCAAAGGATGCTTAGGAGGGGGAATAAGGGATGCCAGCTCTGCCAGAACTGAAAACTCTCCAGTGATCAGTTAGTCTGTCATGAACTGAGAGAGCCAGGGGCAGCTCCAACTGTTCGAGGGTCTGCCAAAGAGCCAGATGCTGTGGTGCAAAATGATTCCAATGGACTGGCACACAGGAACTCGTAGCTGCCACTTAAAATAAATATGACTATGAGCAATGCACTGCGCAACTAGGCAAACATTTCTCAAGTTTCTGGCAAATATTTCATTTAGTCACAGTAAAACTTGTCCAAAAGTATAATCTGCAAGTTATGCTCCAGTGAGTAGAAGGACATTTTTGTACCTAATTGGAATGGGGGAGGTCGCTGTATTTCATATGCATCACAGATGAAATAGCATGAAGTGCACCTTGAGAATGAAGAAAACAGGGGGAGAGATAAACAGTTTTGTAGCTTCTACTACAAAGAAAATTCACAGTGGGAATACTTCTAGGAGAAAGATAATTCTCCATTTAAGTCATGGCTATGGCTTCTCTTGATATTTATCATGATTTTTATTTACTGACTTGAGAAGAACATCTAGCAATAGAGAGGGGAAAAGTGTAATGTGGAAGGTTAATAACTGTTTTGCAAATCTCATTAGGTAGAATTTGCTCACCGTGAAGGTGTCGGAGCCCTGGCACAGGCTGCCCAGGGAGGCTGTGGAGTCTCCTTCTCTGGAGATCTTCCAACCCGCCTGGATGCCGCCCTGTGCTCTGGGTGTCCCTGCTGGAGCAGGGGGTTGGACTAGGTGATCTCTAGAGGTCCTTTCCAACCTCAGCTGTTCTGTGAAATGCAAAAACATTGAAATAGATAACGTTAGGTTAACAGGACAGTGATTCAGAAGGTGGCGATAGGTGGTTAGATATCAGATTTCCAACTCTTAGCAGCATTAGCTGTTGCATTTTAAGAAGATAAATTCAGCTTAAACTTGGCTCAGTGCGTGTGAATATATTATGATGTGCCTGCCATATGCCTCTCGCTGCTTGCGTCCAAGCCATTCATGGCACTGCCTGGTAAGCTCTGCTCTGCACACGTATGCCCGAAGCATCTGAGATGTGTCACCTTGTTTGCCTAAACTTGAGACGTATAAAAGAAGGGTAATTTCAGTGATGCCAGGAAGGTCAGGTAAAAACTTTAGAGGTAGAATAGAAATTTAGCAATGTGGTGCTTCTGCTGTTCGTTTTTTTTTTTTTTTTTTTTTTTGCATACAAAATGAATGAAATGACACTTCTAGTAATTGGGGAAAAATCCTTAAAGCCTAGTGTATGACTCATTCCCATTCTCATCCATGCAGCTTGCTGTATCAGCTGACTTTGTAGTCAAAGGCCCATATTGACATTTGATGTTTAAAATATGGCATTGCTTTAGGATATGGAAAATACTTACTGTACAGCTGTATTGGACGCTTTCTCTACAGCTGTAAAAACTCTGATGCAAACGTTGATTTTAAGTTTATAGGTAGTTACTGAGCAAGAAAATCTGCATATAACAATGCCCAAGAGGTTATGTAGAAAGCAGAATGTGAAACTTGCCTTAATTCTGAACCAAGTGCTCTGGTTAAGCTGAAGGTTCAAAAAGTAAGGTACAGATGAACAGTTTATTTTCCTTACCTTAAGTGAGCTTTTTAAAAGTTAAGAGCTCTGTATAACTTGAGTTATCTAGTTGTAACTGTTCCAGTGTTGATTTTTTTTTCCTTTTTATCCAGAGCAATATGGAATTAATCAGTCCTGGGGGAAAAAACAAGACATTTTGTACTCTGTATCAATTATGAGGAGTTTTTCTAGTTTGCTGTTATGTGTTAGCAGATAGCTCACCTGATGCAGGACGTGTGTCAGGAGGAGAGCTGATAATCTGATAGTGTTGCTTCTGAAATTGCTTTGCATGAAGGAATGGGCAACTAAAATATGCAGTGAAACTCATAAGCTCATGAGAGAACAGCCAAGAGATTGGCTCTTGCTTATATTATGGAACAAATGAAGCAGTGGGTTCTAAAAAAATAAACTACAAGGATGCTTCAGACTTCTGAAGACTGAAGGGAGCCTTCATGGCAAGCATTCTGTTTCCACAAGATGAAAAATGCTGAGGAGGGTATAAAGCTCTCTGTATCTCATAGTCACCTCTGAGACTTTGGAGACTGCATAGGTAAAAAGTAAAAGATACCTTAACAGTTGTGCTTAGCATGTTAATGATTTTCTATTAATAGAATAGACTCTAAGCATAGGTTACTGTGGACAGGGTTTACGATAATCCATTAATCACTTGAGAGAAGTATTTTTGATAAATCCTTTGTTCAATTCCTAGCTAAATGATTTCCTCTGCCAGTACTGGTAACCATCTGAAATTCCTTGGAAGAAACGTAGGTGATCTGTCTGGCACTATTATGGCTATACAGGAACCTGAGGAACCTACCAGCCTGAGTAGCGGTAGTTTCTAAAAGTTAAATTCTGATCTTAGTTAATTCTCTCCACAGATGAGACAAATCTTTAAGGCTTTTTCTGGGTGGGATAAGACTTTGAGAGCACCTTGCAGCTAGTGGTTGCAGCCACCTTCCTTCTGGAGCAGTGCAGATGTCTGCCTAGCAGGCTTTTAAGGAAGTAGAAAGTAGAAAAAGGTTGGCCTTGAATCTAAAACAAAAAATGACGTTGATCATAAAGTAGACATTACCAGTTAGACACTGTTTTAAGTCTCGGGGTTTCTTTAGGTAAAAGTGAGAGCTGTAGGAGCTTAAGTGTGTATGTGTGTGGGAAGGAAGAGATTATACAAGAGAACTGGGATGGAACGTGGAATTTCCTTTCTCTTTTATTTGGAATGGAAATTGGAGATATCAATGGGAGTAATGATAGAGTAAAGATAACAAGGCCCAGAATAGATGGAATTCCCCCTCTAGATTTGTAGCTTCTTGGATCATAGCTTTGTTTTTAAACGTGAGAGCGAATTAATCACATGAACTAAATACTTTGTGATTCGTGAACCTGTAAATTCTGTTACTTATTTGCATGTCTACTGTTTTTAGACTATTGTTAACCTTTCTCTTTCAGGACAGGCATGTTGCATAACCTGACAGCACCGTGCAATGCTGACTGCAGGTGTCTGCGCTCCATGTATTACCCAGTCTGTGGCAGAGATGAGGTCCAGTATTTTTCTCCCTGTTTTGCAGGATGTACTGCACAGTTTTCCGACAAGAACAAAAAGGTATATTATCATATACTTTTCATTGTAGGTGGGTGATACTGTATGAGATTCTACAGGATGAATGCAAATAAAAGGAAAATGCTCTTTCCCTAGACCGCAAACTGCAATATTTCTTCATCTCTGTGATTGCTACTTCATCTTCATCTCTGTGATTGCAGGAAAACTTAATGTCAGCTTTGAGGCAGACATCTGTCAGTAGAATGAGTGTGGAAATGGTTTTTAGCTGTTCGGTTTCTTGTTGCAAATGTGCTTATCTCTGCTAGCACAAGGAGCCCCTGACCAAGGATATGGAAGCAGTGCAGGGAAGAAAAAGACTAAACTGTGGGAGACTCAAGTGGGATTTACTGGGTTTTCAGTCTGTGCCCACTGACCTTCGTCCTGTCCCTGGCCACCACTGAGCAGAATCTGGCCCCATCTTCCTCACAGCCTTGCATCAGATATGAATAACATTGTTAAGATATAAGTAAGATAGCAGGTATTATTCGGAGTAACATGTAAGAAGGTAGCTACTCCCTGCTGTGGATATCTTGAAATTTCACTGATTTCTTTAGTAATAAACACAGGTGGATCCATCCACAGATGGATCAGATGGATTTAAATAAAGAAGGTAAAACTATTGTTTCACAATCACATTGATTGTGAATGATTGCTTTTCAGATTTCTCATGATGTACCTCAAAACCTGTTTGTCCACAAAATGGCAGCATACACCATCTTTTTAGGTTACAAACTGCTTATTACTCAAGCTAGATTAGTCTAGTTCTCCTAAACCAGTTACAAAATACAAAAGAGTTGCAGTGCCATGTAATGCATTTTCCATGCTGTAATGTTATTGCTTGTTCTTGTGCCCAGGGGGATGCGGGACTCCTCAACATCTTTGGCATTAGTTTTAGTCCCAGTGTAATAGAGAGCTAACACTTGCTTCCTGGCTTACAGACTTTCTACAACTGTTCCTGTATTGGGACACTAGAAAAAGAAAATAATTCAGAGGACTATCTGTATGAAGCTATCCCTGGGAAATGTCCAGTACAATGCAAATTTTTACCTTTATTTCTGACATTCTTCTTCTTTGCTGTTGTATTTACATTTATGGCTGTTACTCCAACAACTGTGGCCATTCTCAGGTATGTCTTTTAGATTGAAAAGTAGGTAACATGAATTCCTAAAAAAAAAAAAAAAAAAAAAACCTGCTACTGGTAAATCTTCTTTCTGTTTCCTGTAGACTCAAATCAGTGTGTAGTGAATTTTGTATTTTAGTACTTCATATAGTAAGCTGTCAGTGCTTGACAACAAGAACTGTCTCTCTGTAGTTGTTTTTGATTAGTAGATGTTCTTTATATTCATTTGTTGTCCTCTAGTGAAAAGAGAGAAAATAATAAATGTACCCTGTGTTTGGATGAAGAAATGTTCAGTAATACTGTTTATGGTAGTACGTCAAGACTTGAAATTCCTCAAAGGAAAAGCAAAATGGTCCTCTATCTACTTAGAAGAAGAATTATCTGCAGTTGATCATCTTATCCTCTGATTCCTGTCTCAAATTCAGATCGAGTCCTCAATTTAGATGTTGCAGTCTCTGTTGCCTTACATATGATACATAAGGCTGTAATAATGGAATTCTGTGGTAGCTCTTGATATAAAATGTGGTGACTTATATGTTCCTGTTAAGTAATTTGATGAGTTTACATCCCTAAAACTCATGTGCACCAAAGCTGGATATTTGCTTTCACTTTAAATCGAGACCTGACTTGCACCTCTAATACCTGTTAGGTAGAAGAATAAAATGGTTATGGTTATGTACAGACTTAGAAATATTGTGCATTTTTTTTTAAGAGTGTTTTTTAAGATCCTATTTTTCCAGCTTTCTAGGCTGGAAAGAGAGTGGAGAGATGCTGTAACCCTGCTTTGTTGTAGTAGCCTCCTGTTCAGGGTTGGTGTAAATGGGCGTTTAACAGCTTGCCATGCTAGCCTGGGGGCAGGAAAATGCAAAATGTTTCTGTGGGCTTCAAATGCAGAGCTGACAGTTTTATTAAGTAATAACACTAGGACTTTTGGAAGCCTCATGCGCTTCAACTAAAACAGTGAAACAGCTTCTCTGGAGGAGATAAGAGCACAGTTTGAATATTCAAGAACTAATTTAAATAGCTAAATGTGAAGAAAGTATCATATTCTGATATCTTTTTTGTAGGTTTCTATTTTATGCCACTGTAATTTCTAAGATTAATTTCTGCATTTCTAAGATCTTCAATCAATAAGTTAGAAGCATTTATTAAGACAAAGCATATTTATTAAGGAGCTAAGGATGCAAACTCCTCTAAGTTCCTGAAGCCCAAGTCCTTAGACTCCGAATCTCTTTTGCAGGTGTGTGCCAGATAAGCAGCGCTCATTTGCCCTTGGAGTGCAGTCCGTGTTTCTGCGCCTGCTGGGTATGACTTCCAGTTGGAATAACTGTCTCTCTTCCCCACTTCCTCGATGGTTTTTCAACCTTAAAAATGATGCTTTAAGGCTTGGTAAAAGGCAGGAGCCATCTGTGGTTTAGTACTCAGACTCCACTGTGGAGCAGAGGGCAGGACTTGGTGCCCAGTGAGTGCATGTGAAGAAGGCAGCACCAGCAGCACTGCTGCCAACAAGTTAGATAAGCTTTATCACTGCCCAACCTGACTTCCTCCTTCTAAAGAGGATGTAGATACCACATATCACACAGGGAGCCTGGGTAGTGCAGTTAGAACTGCGTGTTAGCTTAAGATCAGCTTAAACCTTAAACAGGGTGAGTAATCGTGCTGTGTACACTGAAGGTGTTTGAGTAACATGGGCTGTACTTGCAAGCACAGATGTTTTGCATCTAAAGAAGTAAGAGAGATCATGTAAATCCACTGAATTCTAAAAAGGAATAACTTCAAAACCTGTTCCACGTGGGGTTTCTCACCAAAGCTTGTATACTTTTGATGGAAAAATAATGTAAAACTGAATGTAGTATCATGCTTTTCTTTTGCAGCTGATTGGTATATTTGATCTGAAGAAAGGGCCTTTTTCTTTGCTTAGAATTCTACTTCCTTGATTACTTCTGCCTCTACCCAACAAAGGTTTTACTCAGACTTTTATCTTCCTATGAAAGCTTAGAAAATTGAGAGGCTCAGACTTCTGAAGAAAATCTTTGCTTGAAAAAGTGAATTGCTGTGTGCATGCTACCTGTTAATTGAGATTAGTGGAAGAGGCACAGTTGCTATGTAATGTGAATCGTATGACTTTGAACAAAGTATTTATGGAGGGTGGATCTCGTTCCGCAGTACTTCAGAATTTCGTTGTGTCCATTCAGGTAAAATAAGACTAATTCCAATTACTTGAAGTGCTCAGTAATGTCACTTTTTTTTTCTTTAGGTACTATTCCTGGACCAATATTGTTTGGTGTGGCAATAGACAACAGTTGTACTCTATGGGATATAAATGAATGTAAAGTTAAAGGAGCCTGTTGGGTTTATGATAATGAAAGAATGGCTTATCTACTGATGGGTATAAGTAAGTGGCTCTTCTACATATGAAGTACGTGTGCAAGAGAATAATGTCCTTGACTGTTAGATGGCAACAAGGCTATTTTAGAATGGCACCTTAAACTTTTAAAAGCTTTCCTAGAAGCAGTTTTAAAGTAAAAATAAAAGAAAAATCCATCTGGGTTGTCTTTAAATATCAAAAAGCAAAACGTCAGAGAAGGAGAAAGACTCCCCTGAGATGTTATCACAAATGGGTAGTGGAAGTTTATTTTATGACATAATATTTTGAAGTAGTTCTGCTTTTCAGTGTCCTCCTATTATTTTCTGAACTGAATTTTATAGAATTATATAGAATTCACAGACATCTCAGTCTAATTTCTCTTGGCTTGTCAGCAACTTATGGTCTGAAGCCTTTTCTCACTCCTTTATATCAGTTTTTTCATTACCTTAATGTCAGGTGTGAAAACATCTCTAAACACTGGTCAAACTTCTGTGTGTGTGTAACAGCTGCCTGCAGGTGTGCGTGTGCATGGGCCGTGTGTGCATGAGTATTTTGGGAGTGTGTAAGTTTGCATGTGTGATAGTTGCCGTTGTCCTGTCTTCTAGTAGTCATCGCACTCAAATTGCCAGTTAACTGAACTGCTAGTACCTAATCTTCAAACCTGAAAAAATAGCACGAGCAACTTCAGTTCTCAGTATCTTTCAGTCATCCTTTGGTGACTGAATGCGCTCCCTCCTAATTTGTCTTTGTACAAACATCCCTTGGTATCAATGAAGGGCTGAAGGGCTTTTTGTAAGGTAGCTGAGGGCTGAATACTTAAGAGGTTTGTCCATGGGGAGCAGCAGTGTGTGGGGAAAGAATGTTGAAAAGGCCAAGAACTGTAATGAAGCGAGAAGTAAGGGAGGTGCATGCTTCAGGCTGCAGTGGGGGAGAGAAATAGAAGCTGAAGGAATGGAAATAGCTGCACCAAGCAAGAACCAGCAGGCAGCTGTAAGACTTGTTTAAACCCAGTCTCTGTAGTTCCTCCAAAGTTCCCTGCAGTTGATCACATCCAGTCAGAGTCTTTCACTGGAGCTTGCTGTGTGAAGTTTTACAAGTAACAAATGCTCTTGTCTGCTGTTGAAGGTGATTTTCCAGTGAGAACTGTCCTGTTTTTTACTTTTGCTTCCAGGTGTTATTTGTAAGATCATCACCATCGTCTTTGTTATCGTGGCGGTCTGTTTGTATAAGCCTCCACCAGCAAGTTCAGCTCTGTCGCAGAAGGATTCAGAAATGGTGTCTGCTGTGTGCACATAATCCTGAGCCAAGTGGGACTTTCAAAAGAAGCCCATAGGAATAAGCTCTATTACAACATTTGTACCAAAATTACTGTACAATATTACCCAAGGATAAAAGAGCAATATATAAATCTTAAGCAATTTAAAATGTTTGTGAATTTGTAGTATTCACTAATTTCTGCGCATGATCTTAGGTCTTCTACTATGTGTTTCCAAGAAGTGGTGTGTTTTCCAGGTGGCTGACTGCAAATTTTGACACCTAATTTAAGTGAAACAAAATGGAATAGACTCTTCAGCAAGAAGAAAGATGAGTTGAACTGAACTGACTGCAGGACATGTTTCTGCTGCTTATAAGTAATACGTGAGACTAGTAGCAGGAAATACGTAACTGGATCCATCCAAAGGAACTATCAGTGAGGATTTTAATGTGCACGTCACCTGGACTAGTACCATAGATGGAAGTTTTGACTCTAGATACACTTGGGAATGTGCAAATATGGACATGTTTTAAAAATATTTTTACATGCTGTCTTAATGGCACAAACTGTTCACTTTTTAGTATTTGTAGAAAAATGTAAATAGTTAATACAGGCCAGCCAGACTTATAACAGCAAAATGTTTGTTAATTTAAGTGCCTTATTTTCTATCTGGGATGTATAAAGCAAGTTGCTGTCAAGCTTTTCTCTTCAGCCATTGTTAAGATTTTTCTATGAGATTTGAAAATAAAAGCTATTTTCTTATAGCTTCTCGCAGGCTAGATTCTTTCTATGTGGTGACTTCTCCACTAGAAGAAACAAAGTGCTGGAAAGACAATGAATAGGTGTACAGGCACCAGCAAGGGGACAGTTTTTAGTTGGTCCTTCTGAGCAGGTGAGAAGCAGACCTGGTGAGAAGCAGATCTGGCTACGCATCCTCCATGCACGCAGCTTCGTGCATGCTGAGGTGGAAGAGGGGGAGGACTGTAACAGCTTTGTTTTTTTGTCTTCAGTTCAAGGTCTAAAGATAACAATTTCCTGATAAATGGGACCAAGGCAAGATGGGTAACTTGTCCTCTGAGGAGTAATCCTCATAGCACCTTCCATCAAACTTGGGAAAGGAGCTTAAAACTGAGCTCAGCTTCTGGCTCTTACAGCTTGTGAGGTATAGCAAATCTTTACTACAATTCAGTTTATGTTTAGTATCTTCACTACAACTGAGGCAGAAACTAAACTTTCTCCTCTTGGTGTGACTTGGCCTGAGCTCATAGGTTACAGGCTTGGCTGGGCAGCATGACTGGGCATTGCAAAACTTGGGCAGAGCAAGAGCAGCTTCCTCTTTTGGAGAGGCTGCAGGGCCCTTGGCTGGAGCAGTTACCAGGGCAGAGAGGGAAGGAAGTGGTGCCACCGCGTGCAATAGCAGTTAATGCTAAAGGCTGTTGCAACCTCGTTGCCCTGTGACTTGTTAAAGATTACACTTGCTAACCTGGGGGAATCAGCAGCACGATTAGGAAGGACCGCAAATATTTACAGTTTTGTCTTGGTTCCTGACAACTGTGTCCTAAACAAGTTCATCCATTCATGGGGAAACAAACCCTTATTTTAGCAGTGATTAGCAAAGTTAAATTAATTCTCTAAAGCAATAGCTACTGCTCAGCATGATCTCTGTTCTATGTTCTGTAATTTCTACCTGGATTTTTGCCGAGGAAGACCTATCTGCTCTTGTGGTGTCCTTTCCCGGGGCTTTTATCTCAGCTGGTATCTTCCATTAAACTGTGTTTAACAACTTAATACTGTGCTTGTGTCTTGCTGGGGGTGATGGCTGTCCTTTTCACGCTAGCAGCACACGCTTGATAAAATCTTTATAAACAGCAGTTGACGGCAGATTTGTATGTGCTCTGTGAACTCTTGTTTAGAGTGCTGGGACTGCTAAATTCATGGACATGTATCCTGGTTTTCTTATTAACTACCATAGATCTGGAGTCTCAGCAATCCTGGCTCTTGTCTAAAATACATTTTGAAGCTTTTAGAAAGTTGTCTTCTAAATAATGCAGTCATTTTTAGAAACAATTTCTATTACAAATGGAAGTTGGCCAAGCAAGCACTGTAGTTGAGTTTTTAATTTATCTGCGAGCCAGAAATAAGCTTGTAAACCTAAAATATATTATTTTGCAGTCCTAGTGTATTGTTTTGCAGCTCAAAATGTCCCAAATGTTATTGAGGCCCTCTCTGGGTAATTGTCTGTCACTTTTGCAGTGAAAAAATGCTCTTTAGAACTCCCTAAAATATGTAGCTAGTTTTTTGGTGCTTTTTATTTTTTCTTCTAAGTCTTAAAAATAGTGTCTCAAGGCTGCTGCTTTTTCTTTCTTCCTCCTTTCCTCTGTTTTAAGATGCTGTGTGTTGGGTTAGTGGGGTACAGCTCCACTAACAGGTGCTTATAGATGTTTGTAAAATACTTGGGATGAATAAATAGCAACATGTTTTCAGATATGAATATCAAAAGTGTTTGCTTACTTGCCAGCCTGCCTCTGAATTCAGAAGAGGATTATGATCAAACACAAACCAGAGACGTAAGAAAACTTTCCCAGAACTTCAACTCTGTGTCCACAAATATTATCACTGAATCCTCCTTGTTCAGGAAGGTCTGGTCTCAGCAAAAATACGTAGTTCTGTTATTGTCACACTAAATAGCCCCACAAAGTAACTTAATCTGCCTGGGCTGTCACGTAGTTTGTTTAGGGCTTGGAGGTCCCAGGAATAAGCTACTGCCATGTGTGTAAATGAAAAATCTTGATGGCCCAAGTGGGACCTTAGCCCTGCTCTGAGCAAGGCTCAAACCTAAGTTATTCTGTGACGAGAGGCATCCTTTCTCTCATAGATAACCATCTAATCTGATATTTCCTGTTTTTCTTGCTCAGAGTAGTCCTTGTGCATCTCTCCTTGCAAGGGACTCTCCATGTGCTTACAGGTACCGCTGTGTTTTTTTTTTTGAGATGGTTTGGTGCTTATCTAAGAAAATTCAGCAGAATTACTCTCATTTCTTTTGGTTTTGAAATCAGCTGCTATTGCTATCTCACTTGAAGGGCCTTGTGGTCCTGAAAGCGTATTTTATTTTTCAAAATATAGGATTTTTTGTAATAAAAACCGCTGCTGCCATTTGGAAATATTCTTCTACGGCAGAAGAAGAGTAGTTCTTTTGTTGTTCTACAAAAAAAAACCCCTTTTTGCCCTAGTGACACACATTCACTATTGAAAATGGTTATTTAAAGCTTTTCCTCTTAATTTTGCTTAGAAGCAATGACAATGCTCATCAAGATGGAAAGCAGCTACATAAAAAATATTTATAAAGTTAAGTCGGGGTTAGTAGGTGGGATTGTTCTTGATTTCTTTTGAACCTTTTCTGTGTTTTGCTAGTACTTGCTAGTAGACTGCATGTTTCTCAAGAGTCATTTTTGAATTTCCACATTTCAGCAACTTTTTTTTCCTTTGAGTAACAACATTTTTTTTTTCTGTTTGAAAGGTGAGCAGTTGGAAATATTTGATACCTTCATTTACTCTTGTGGCAAGGCAGACAACGTATTTACAGCACGTTTGTTCCTTCTGCATGCTGTGAAGTTTGAACAGCTTGCATTTCTGTGGCTTGCTGTGCCATTGAACGGACAGGAAAAAAGAATGGAGCTGCCTGTTCTGCCAACGAGTTAGCCATAGGGAGCCTCGCTTTTAAAATCTGATGCCACTTGAGACTTTTCATTGTTGCTGTGTAGAATGATAGGTTTTGCTTTCCAAAAACTGCCCTGTTTGGGAGCGTGCACTGGAGTATGAGAGCCCGGTTTGCTCTCTGAGCAGGTCCACTCTACATCATGTCCTCAGCAGCAGCAGGTAGAAACAAGAGCAGCGGCAGCTACTCATGTTATTCACCTTTTCTTGGGCATGCTGACCTTAAAATGGAGCTGTTTGTTTTGGTTAAGGTAATACTTAAACAGCCTGTAAGAGACTTGTTTTATAGAGCCTAGAGCTGACTTGTGGTTGTCTGCTCAGAAGGAGACCAAGATCTGAACGATTCCTGGAGAGCAACAAGAGAGCAGCCTCTGGTGGGTGTTACAGCCCGGGTAAACTTGTAGTCTGAACTCTGTTTGCTCAAAATCAATGATTTATTTCATTTTAATTTCTTTTTCATTTTTTTCCCCTTTGTCCCTCTTCTGCATAGGAAAGAAGATTTTAAGGGAATCCCAAGCTGCATTTGAAGAGTGGAGGCTGGAATCCCCATTACACTAAGGTAGTTGTCCGTGTTTGAACAGTCATGAAAGCTGAGTGCTGAAATTCAGTGCAATGGCAAGAGCACATGCTTCCTAGTTTCAAGAATACTTCGAGAAGGGGCAAGAATCTGAGTTTTATTTTGCATGTGGTTAGTGTATGTACTGCTACTTCTGAAATACTTTGTGCTTTGGCTTGGACATGTACCTGGCTCGAAGCATCCTTGTGCTTGTGTCTCTGGGTCCCTGAATATGTTGATTCAAATGGAGAAAAAGGCCCTGTGCTGCTTCTTGGTGTAAACATTGTAAAAGTAGATTGGGTGCAAACAGACCGGAGAAAATGACTGAAAAAGCATCTTTCACATCCGGAATTATTCAAAAGGCTTGTAGTTTGAAGAATAACAGTTGTATTCCCATTAGAGAATACACATACATGAAATACTTCTGCAACATGCTACTGTAGCCAAGCACGCTGCTGTGATTTAGCTGTGATATAGAGGTTTTTTTTTTTTTAATTTCTGTGATTTAGACAGGATTTTAAGAGCTTTTTTTTTTTTTGCCAGCAGATGGCTCTGTTGTTTCTGCTAACAAAAGTCCCGCATTGTTTTAGATGCAACTTTGAGAAGTGCAGAGTAGAAAATATGCAGCAGCTGCAAAAATATTCTGTTAATAAAAGTGCTGCCTCTTGAGTTCTGCTTTTGCAGCAGCAGTTGCTTTCGTGATGTGGTAAATGTATGAACATGCTCCTGCAGGATCTCATCTCTTTTTATGAGGCGCCTCTGTGCACCTCCTGTCCTTGCCTGGGTGTCTCAAAGGAAAGAATCCCCAGGCAACAGGGGAGCTAGGTCAAGATTAGAGAAGCTTAACAAAACCAAGAGGAAATGAATGAATGTTTTATATATATATATAGAGAGAGAGAGATTAAATATCGGGGGAAAAAATGTAAAACGTTGCTTGTGTGGAGCTCCCATGGCAAATGAAGAGTGAGGCTGCCATGTAAAGGAGACTTAGGGAGTCAGGCACTTGGTTTGAAGAAAGTGCAAATTTCACTGTGACACCCTTTGATAGCCATTAAACTGCAAGACATGACTGAGCTAGGACAGGCATACAAGCTGGAGAGGAAGGAAAGTAGTACTTTGCAGGATTATTATTTTTTTCAACCTAAGCATCTTATAATTTTTTTTCAGGTATCAGATATGTGTGGACATTGGTTTCCTAGTTACGAAAATCACTTGTCAAGAAAGAATTTATGTGGCCAGTCATGAAAATTTAAGGAAATGTATTGAAGTGTTTGCACTAACAGAGAGGTGAAGATGCAGCCTAAATATTAAATTTTGGCTATGGAATTGGTGTTCAGTACTGTTACATGCTTGAAATATTTTTCCCTCTAGATTATCTTAAAGCAGAAAACAGTTTTAGAACATATTAAAACATATTTTTAAAACAGATATAAGC